TATTACCTCTAGGATATGACCAGTGTTGTCCAGCTCAGATCCATGTTCTTATTTACAAACAGTGGTGAATGATATGATATTGTTATTTCCTCTAGAGTATGACCAGTGTTGTCCAGCTCAGATCCATGTTCTTATTTACAAACAGTGGTGAACGATATGATAATGTTATTACCTCTAGGGTATGACCAGTGTTGTCCAGCTCAGATCCATGTTCTTATTTACAAACAGTGGTGAACGATATGATATTGTTATTACCTCTAGGGTATGACCAGTGTTGTCCAGCTCAGATCCATGTTCTTATTTACAAACAGTGGTGAACGATATGATAATTCTGAGCTGGACAACACTGGTCATACCCTAGAGGTAATAACGATACTCTTCTATATGACGGTGATGATAATTTCTGAACCACGTCCACATTCACTGTTACAGGATCGATAATCGAGAGAGCCGTGTCTTCCTCCAGACCAAGAATACAAGAAAATACTTCCAAGTTTTGAAGAATGCAGGAGAGTGGCTTATCTAAGGAGCAGGGTTTAAAGGCAATAACAGCAGTGGACTAAGGAAGAAATAAAATGTTGAAACAAATATTAAAACAGAACAATTATGTAGGATACAAATAATGCATACAGCTTAAAGGCAGCTACATTTTCTTCACAAAGAACTATTTTTATACTTAAGAAAGGTGAGTAAATAATAAAGACAAGATCATAAAAAGTAATTAAAATTTATAGTTCTTTCTGTAAGTTACCGTTAAATTAATTTTCACTTTTAGGGAAACTAACTACACAAAGTTATTTAGAAAAAAATTCAAAACTAACTAACTTTAGTGACATTATACTAAGAATTTTGTTCAATCATTGTAAACAGACAATTCTAATCAAACCTACAATAAAAAAAAAGCATAACACATTTCCAAAAACCTAAAAATATAAAAAGATTGCAAAATAGTATTTAAATTTCACTAGTTCTTAGCTAAAGAAATTAGGCTAAAAGCAAACTTTGACGAGATATTGTAAAAAAAGATCTGTTTCTAATTTTCAGTTTAATATTTCATATAAAATAATTGGAAATACATCTGAATTACAGAATTTGATAAAATGTCATTAACGTATAGTGTTTTTCTGTTTTAAAGAAAAAAATAAGTTAAACATCCATTACTGAAAAAGTTTACCCAAATATTCACTTAAATGTTATTTAAATAAATTTTAGTAATATCTAAATCAAATTGAGACTACTTGGTTTACCTTAAGAATAACAGCACTTGTGTCCCACGTAGCTGAGTCTTCAATAACCACTAGTTCTGTGTCTGTAACGTTTAGACTGAGTTCAAAAGGAACTTCATCCTATATTATAAAAAATATTTTGAACATTAAAGAATTACTGAAATAAATATATAAAAAACAGGATAGTAAAGTGTACGATAATCCTGCTCAAAGAATGTTTATACTAATAAAAAGATGTACCTGTATGAATCTTATCCTTCTAGAATATCAAATATGAAAGAAGATAATCCTCCAAACACTAATAAGTAAATACAGTGCCACCTGTGTGTCATGATTTTATCCAACTTTTTAATATATTTAATATGATTTGAAGATTTTTCTTGACAGAAAACACTCGGAAAAATGTGCTTAAAAATTTAATAAGTTATATTTGTTATCAAAAATTATCTTCTAGGCCTTTCATTTTAATACTACAATTATTATAATGTATCAAAAATCTTTGTACATTTTCATGTCAGACCAAAAACAATAATAAAATCTGACACAGAAACAAGTTTTTTGATGTAATCCATCTAAGGTTTTGTTTAATTCCACAAAAATGATTAAAAATCATTAAACTTTGAAGATACTATCACAATTTATCAATGCATGAAGTTTACTTCAAAAAAAAAAGAAAGATAACTTATATCATAATATCTACTAAATGTAAATCATGAGAGATGTCTTCTTCTCACTCATAGTAAACATACACCCAGGTTTATAATAATGCAGATTTAATTTAAAAAAATATATAAATAGTAAAAAAAGTAGTTTGAACTTTAGTTTGATTTGAATTTTGCGCAAAACTACACGAGGGCTATCTGTGCTAGCCGTCCCTAATTTAGCAGCATAAGACTAGAGGGAAGGCAGCTAGTCATCCCCACCCACTGCCAACTCTTGGGCTACTCTTTTACCAACGAATAGTGGGATTGACCATCACATTATCAAGCCCCCACGGCTGAAAGGGCGAGCATTTTTGGTGTGACAGGGATTCGAACCCGCAACCCTCAGATTGCGAGTCGAGTGCCCTAACTACCTAGCTATGCCGGGCCCAGTTTGAACTAATTAACCATTTGTGTATTTATGATATTAATAAACATAACAACAAATTGAAAAAAAAAAACCAACAACAATAAAAATATTATAAAATATAAGATTCTGGTACACATACAAATGTACTATATAAAAAAATATGAATAGTGTTTAATGTTTTACAGTACTGTGTGTTTCTATGACCAAGATTGTATCTTAACTAGTACTTATTAGGCTGAATTATGTTGCATATCAATCCCATAATATAAGTATCAGGTTGAAAAGTAACAGACAAACAGTGAACTAAAATTCATAACATCTATAAAATAAAAATACTTCCCATAGAAAGACTGAGCTCTTTGTTAGTCTAAATTAATTATTTTGGGTAGTGAACATATTTTAAATTTTCCAGTTTTATACATTGAGAGACATACTGTTTTTTTCTACTGTTTCTTCATCTTCCAAACTCTTTTCAAGTTACCACCATTCTTGCACTTCTTGGTGTATTGATTCGAAACTTGGTAGGGTTATACTTTGGTCCAATACATCCAGATACATTTTTTCATTTAGGCCTTTTTAAAGATTTTATGGAGTAAAAGGTCAAACAACCCAAAAAATGATATTTTGGGCACTTATGTAGTCATATTTACAGCAGTCAAAACGAAAATTGGCACAAATATACATTTTCATGTGCCCAACACATTAACATACATAAAAAGTTAGATTTGCTCTTTAATTGATAAATAAGTCACAGGTGACTGTTAATATATGATACTCTTATTACTGGATGAATTACAGAGAAGCCATAAGTGTTAAAGAATCTCTGAAAATTAAAAAACAAATATATAAAATCATTATTGGCTACTTACTTTCTCTTGAGAAGACCTTGTAAAAACTGATGATTGCCTGATGCTTTCACTAAGGCTTGGATGAGCAAGAGAGGCCTTGCTTTTCTCTATCAAAATCAAGCATAAATCTGGTGTTAAAAACTTTGAAGTATTAACACCTGTACTATAAATAATGATAAGAGAGATAAAAAAGAAAGTGGATCAAAATACAAAGTTGAACCTGGTACATCTAGGTTTGGCTTGACCTGTCACAGGTGAACCTAGTACATCAACACAGGTCAAGCCAAACCTCACAGATGAACCTAGTACATCTACACAGGTCAAGTCAAACCTCACAGGTGAACCTAGTACATCTACAGGTCAAGTCAAACCTAACAGGTGAACCTAGTACATCTACACAAATCATGCCGAACCTCACAGGTGAACCTAGTACATCTACACAATTCAAGTCAAACCTCACAGGTGAACCTAGTACATCTACAGGTCAAGTCAAACCTAGTAGATCTACACAAGTCATGCCGAACTTGTTTGAAACATATTTAAAATTTTTCCTAATATCACGCACATACACAGGGGGTGGGGTTGATGGGGTTCAACCGAATCTCCTATTTTTGTGATGTAAAAAAAAAGTCAATGCTTAGATAGTCACAGTGCAGCTGCTTATGGTATTTAATGTTTTGGATGTTTGTGGATTTTGCGTGAAGAGACATGCAATTGTTTAAGCTATATTTCACATAAAATTGCTCCAAGATTTAATCTCATAGCACCTATTTTTAAAAAAATTTCTGAGGGGGGGGGGGAGCATGCTCCCAGATCCATGTAGCATTAGCATGCTAATGCTACGTGGATTAGCAAATAAGAAACCCTTTTTCAAACATTCTGTGTACGGGGCTGTATATATAAGCATAATAAAATTCATATAAATTGTTGTCTGTAAACACCTTCTCTCGGCAATATTTTATTGGTCACATTTTATCTAGCACAGTATTTAGAAACAGATATAAAATACTTGTATAACTACTGATCATACATTAAACAAGAGAAAAACTAAATTAGAAAATTTTATGTCTGTAGCAATTTCTCCCTAAAATTCTTGAATGACTTGTTTCACAAAAAGCATGAAGAAACAACTTGTATAAAAGGTAATAGAGGATAAATTAACATGTCTAAATAAGCACATTTTTCTGTTTTATCTTGTACAACATTTCAGGTAGACATCCTTCATCAGATACCATGTCACCTAGAAACCAGACAAAGAAAGACTCGTTGAAGGGTAACGTTTTGTCTTTAGAGCTATTATTTATTTTTTAATCTCATTTAACTAAATATACTTTTCAGTAATTGTACTTGAACATCACAAAAGTTTGTGCTAAACAAACCTAGTGTCACCGGTTTGTCTGCCGAGGTTGAGAGAAACTCCAGTACATTTTTCAACCAATCAACAATTCCCATAACTCTCATGTTGTTTAACAAAATAGTGAAACGAGCAAAGTCGTGCGTGGATCGATAATGGACTTCCACTTGAAGAGGAGAAACTTCTGACTTGTGTTTGCTAGGTTGTAAAATGTTTGTGAACAAGTTGGGTCGTGTATTTGCTGGAGCATCTAATCAAAACAAGTCAGAATTAAGTAAAACTGTATATATAAAGTTCATCAAGTTAAAAGCCACATAAATAAAACACTAACTTTTAGTAATAAACCTAACAAAATATACTATCTAAGTAACATTTATCATATTTATAAAAAAAAATAAGCAATACAATTTTATATGAACAAAACTGGTCAAAACAGCACTTTTAAAGTATTGGTTTAAACACCAAAAGCCGGTTAACTATTGGAAAACAATAGGCTTAAAAATTGTTATAAAAATCAAGTTACCTGCAAACGTCCCCTCAATCCTTTTAATTTGTACATTGCAGCTTTGTAAATAAACCCTAAAGCCTAACTAGATTTTCTGCAATTGAAATGATAATTTTTCATCTGCTCTCCTTTCCAAGAGTATAATAACACTTTTCTAACAGTTCGAAAAGTTGTTATAAAAATCAGGTTAACTCCAGATGGTTTATTTTCCTTAATTACCCTTAATTTGTTCATTGTAGCTCAAAACCAAAGTTCATAAAATAACAATTTCGGACCTTTTGGTCTATCACAAAGAAGCTTTTCATTCAATACAAGAACTCGTCAGTTAGGCTGGATGATGAATTCCAGTTTAATTTAAAAGTTTTTGAAGCAGTGACTTGTAGGGAAGAAAGGATAGAATCAAAATACTATTTTTATGTCCCATATATTTTTTTAAAATGACTATACTTAAATAATCAGGAAAAAAAAGGAATACAAACGAATTCTATTTTAAAAAGCTCTAAATTCGTGCATGGACAATTTTATTTATTAAAAAAAAAAAAGGTTTAAAAATATTTTTACAGCATTTTCAGCAACTCAACTGTATACAATAGAACATTCACACAACTGCCTTTTTTGCCTGGTGGACATCTGGTACAAGACTATAAATCTATAAAAGCCAATAAAAATTCTAATCATGCGTTTAACTGTTCTATCAAATAAGTAACCTTTCTGATCATATTTCCTCCGATATTTTCAGATACAGCAGATAATAAAACTTGTTATAAATAATGAAATTAAAAATTAAAATTAAACCAAAATGTTCTGGTATCTTCATCTGTAGGATGATCTTATTAATCAGTGTACATTTTGACTAACAGTAAGACTAACCTACTAAAATCTCAGAATTAAATACAAAATAGTGTGATATAAATTTGATTCATAGAAGAAAAAAAACATTACCTTGATATCTAGTATCTGAAACTCTGATTTCATGAGATACGAGGTCAACATCTTTGCTTTGATCGGAATATCCCTCGAAAGACAAGCGAGACTTGATAAAGTTGAACTTTGCTAACCGTGATTCAGAGTTTGCACATTTAGGGTGTGAATTTCGTTGTACTAGCTCAACTATTACATTCATTAAATCCATGTGAAAGGCTATGGAAGTCCAGGTCTGTCCAGATGTTGTCTAGAAATAAAGGTAACCAATATATATATATATATATGAGTAATTGCAAAATAATCAGGAGTAAACTTTTGTATGAATATTTTAAAATTGTTGTTCTTTAATGATAAATTAATACATGTATATTTGAGAAGCCATGTTAATAATATGGAATGGAAATTACATAAATATATATTTTTCTGTTTTACATGCCATGCACAGCAGTACTGTTGATACAAATTTAGTTAATTTTTTTAAATCATACAATTCTTGTTAATGATGTGCACCAATAGAAAACCATGAATCATGTCCAGGTATATTTATAGAACATAAAAGTAATAAAAACTATTAGAATGTTCAATTTTTTTTTCTTCTAATGCTAATCAGGAACTTGTAGTTTATTTCCTGGTGTTTAAATGTGTTCTAAAAAACCACATGACGTTCTCTTTCGAGAAATAGCACAGAACAAGAGCATATTAAAAGCATAAGAACCTGGATTCCTGGTTCTTCTAATTTTTCTATTGTTGTTAGGAACTGTTCGAGAGGTTCTCCCAAGTTATGATCTAAAATTCCACGAATCAGTTTGTACTGGGTAAGGTCAACAGTAAAGTGCACCGACGAGAAACTTCCCACAACTGTTATGTCCGGAACTGGAAGAAACACGTTTAAAGGTACATCTATGAATTAACAATATACTTTAGTCAATAAACAACATTAATGTTTGGATTTGGTCGAGAAACTTCCCACTACTGTTACGTCCGGAACTGGAAGAAACACGTTTAAAGGTACATCTATGAATTAACAATATACTTTAGTCAATAAACAACATTAATGTTTGGGTTTGGTCGAGAAACTTCCACTACTGTTACGTCCGGAACTGGAAGAAACACATTTAAAGGTACATCTATGAATTAACAATATACTTTAGTCAATAAACAACATTAATGTTTGGGTTTGGTCGAGAAACTTCCCACTACTGTTACGTCCGGAACTGGAAGAAACAGGTTTAAAGGAATATCTATGAATTAACAATACACTTTAGTCAATAAACAACATCAATGTTTGGATTTGGTCGAGTAGATTCGTAACTTATCCATGTCAATAAACAAAATTAAGTTTATAATATCCACAGTTAAACTTGCCTGTTGATTAATTCTGCATATAGTATGAGAAAAGAAAATCTTCCTATGAAAATAAGCCAGCTGTGCATCTCTAAGAACTATTGGAAGCTGACACCCCTTTCTTATAAATGGTAAAAACTCCTTGACTACTTAAATAAAGAATTTGATTGTTTCTTTTAAAACAGCAGAAATTCTGCATTTTAAAAAATGACCTGTAGATTTAACTTTTCTTTTGGCCCTAGTCTGACAGTGTACCATACAAACAGCTTTAATTTCGATGACGAGAAACTCACTTTGAGACTAATAATGGTTGGAGACAGCTTGAATGGGTAATGAAGAAAAATCTTTAATATAAGTTTAACATAACAGCAAATGTACAACGTTGCTACTAGGAGTTAATGACGACTAAAAATTTGCGAAACATTGTACATTT